CTAAAGAACCTAAAATGCTAATGTATACTGCCACCATGTTCCAGTTGGAAACATGGCAAATACTACACCTTTACCTCTTTTGCCTTCTTAACAGGGATTGAAACTGGGCTATCAGTGCTTTCCATCCTTCTTTCCCTCTTACGTCCTTCCCCTCTCTTCTTCTTGACCTTCTCATCCCCAGGTTCCGGTGCAGCATCCATAAACATATCCAGTAATCACATTATCCCCACCGGTTAACACAGTCCTAACTTTGTCCGCCACAAGAGTTAATGGCGTGCAATTCAGATTCCTTCATTTCGATAAGAGACAAATCGATTTGGAAGGAAAAGTTTGAGAAGATACTGTGGAAATTGGCGACGGAGAAGAATAGGATGATGAGGAGGAAAGCGAGGATTGCGACAATATACTTCTTCTGGTATATGAAATTCTGGTAGAAGAACGCGGAGAGGGATCTTCGACGTGGAAGATGGCGGTCGGGGATGGCGACGGAGGTTTGCGGTGGTTCTGGTCAATGAGGTTGAAGTGGTGGATGAGAAAGAAGATGCAAGGAAAGAGATGGACGAAGAGGGAGGGAGAGAAGCATATGGACTCAGTATAAGCAAAAGTAAAAATGATGTGGCACACCACCATTAGCCACCTAAGCTGATTTTTAACACCGTTAGTTTTGGAGGACGAAAAATTATAGTTTCCGTAAGGAGAAGGATCAAAGTGTACCAAAGTTTGAAAGAGAGACGTAAAATAAAATCGCTTGATAGTTGAGGGACTAAAAACATATTTACCCCTATTTTTTTAACTTATTAATCATCAACCATCAATATTTTTTAGGTTTTGCACATATCTAGGTTTATATTTCTTTTGGTTTTTTGTTTCACTAGTGCAGAAATGACTTTAAAAACGTCTGTTATTTTGGGGCTTTTAACGTCTGATCTCTGTTTCGACGTCTATATGGGGGTTGACGTTAATAGACGTCGGACCCTTTATGTCAAACATCTCTATAGACGTCAGACCTATATAGGTTAGATGTCTATATAGACGTCCGATTCATACAGGTCAGACGTCTTTGAGGTTGCTCCTGACTCATGGTGATTCGAGTTTACAACTTTACATTTTAGTTGAAGAGAATGTATTGTACATTTTTTTTTATTGAATGGTTTTAAAAACGTAGTGAAGGGAATTGAGAGGAGTGCAAAACGCAAGAAATCGCCGCCAAAGAACGTCGCCCAAGGACAGGAGAATAATTGCACCAAAACCCAACAAAAACACATTTTAATTGGTTCAAGTTAAAGATAATGCATCAAAGAGTGATGTAATCGGAGTAAAATTAATTTAAAACGGTGCAAAAGTGAGAAAACGAACCTGAAAAGCATAACCCGTAGAGAGAAAACACGACGAAGATGATGAACAATGAGTGCGCGTAACGATTGTCTCGCGTTCGCTGTGTTTTAATTCCGACATTTTTAGGGACGTCGGTTCGCCCAATAACAGACGTCTAAAGTGCTTTAAGTCAGAATGACGGGACTCAGATGTCTAAATGGAGTCAAAAAGTGATTTTTTAAAATTTTTGGGTTGTGTATTTAGACGTCGGTTCCCCAATAAAAGACGTCTAAAGTGCTTTAGAAGTCGGAGTGGTGGGATCAGACGTCTAATGAGTCAAAAAGTGACTTTTTAATTTTTGGGCTGCGCATTTAGACGTCGGTTCCCCCAATAACAGACTTCTAAAGTGGTTTAGAAGTCGGAGTGGCGAGATCAGATGCCTCAATGGAGTCAAAAAGTGACTTTTTAAATTATTAAGCTGCGCATTTAGACGTCGATTTCCTGAATAACAGACATCTAAAAGTGCTTTAGAAAGTTCGGAGTGGCGACGTCTAAATGGAGTCAAAAAGTGACTTTTTTAAATTTCTTTCTGGGTTGTGTATTTAGACATCGGTTCCCCCAATAACAGACGTCTAAAGTGCTTTAGAAGTCGGTTCCCTCCATAACAGACGTCTAAATAGAATAATTTTTTTTTTAACTTTTTCGTTTAGTTTTGACGTCTATTCGGGGGAGCCGACGTATATGAGTATTTAGACGTTGGCTACCGACGTCTAAATAGTTGTTTTATTTACGAAAAATGTCATCAATCATTTTTTACGTTGGATATTTGAGAATCAGACATTTATAGAATGACGTTAAAGGTCTTTTTGCACTAGTGTTCTTACATGTTTTTATTTAACTTTCCCAAATCGTTTACACTATATATTTTCCCAGTATTCCGGAAAATGTTTTACAAACTTTTATTCGTTTAAAGATCCTATTTTTATATCTCACCAATTTTTTTAATATTTTTTAAAATTCTCATATTTTCTGTTGTCTTTGAATTGTAAAACTAACCAAGAAATATTATTTCAATCTTAAAACTTTTACTCATGTTTTATAAGTTTTAGCTTTATAATTACTCTACCTTATGCAAATTATTTATATTTTAATATTTTTATTATTTTAAATAATCACCATATTTTCATTTCGTATTCATTTGAGTGTACAATAATTTATAAAATATTTTATAATATGCAAGGTTTTACAATTTAAAAAAGTTTTATTTAAAATTTAAGTTTCTTTCAAAAGATAATCTTAATTCTTTATCTCTTGAGTATGTTTAAACTTTAAAGAAACTAACTAATTTTTCTATTTGTTAATCTATTTATCTAATATATTATTTTTGTAAAATATTAGACTATAACAAAAATAATATAAGATAAAAAAAATTGAGGATATTCTTAGAAAAAAATGGTGTCCACTTGTAGTAAGGTAAGATAAAAAATAATGCATTTATCTCTAAATATATAACAACTTTTTTTAGGTTGCTTGAAAGCACTGAAAAATCTATAAATCTTATAAAACTGATACTTTTAAAACATCAGATAGAATAAAACAACTAAAATGATTTTTGTAAGAGTTGGTGTGTATTTTTCTTATTTTTCTTTTCCTATATATTATATTTATAAGTAGAAGAGGAGTATTATATATATATATTATATATATATATATATATATATATATATATATAATTATGATCTAAGATTAATAAATAATAAATATAATTAAAACAAAATAAATACTAATTATGTAATTTTTATCACAGTTTAAACAAAGTGAATTATTGTTATATTTTGAACTAAATTTTGATTTCTTCACTTAGACATCCATTAAGTTGTCTTAGTTATTGAGATCTAATTCACACCTGTTTTACAAGTGTCATTTATTACTCACTAGTTTGCTTACTGACCATGTCCTTTACAAACAACAATTATATGTTTTGAGTGGGTGATAAACACAATAAAATTTTATTTCTTCTCTTGTTTTTCGCTCATTTCTGCAAAAAAAAATACCAGTTATACTAATAAATATATTAACAATTTTGAAAAAGTATAATTATTTTATTTTTTTTTGTGAGGAAAATAAATATATTACTTTGATAATAATTTAGCTTATTTTTTACCTCTTAAAATAAAAAAAAAAAGTCAACTATTTTATTACTTAGCTCTTGACTATTTTAGTTTTGTTATGAAAATGGTGTAATTTTATAAAATATAGACAGATTCTAAAATAATTATTATTTGAAAATAAGTTATGCTCAACATACAACTTCTTTTACAAAAGTTACATGATTTCATATTGAATATACAAAGATGAGTTTTGATTTGAACTATAATAACAAAAATTCGAAGATAAGTTACTATTTTGATTATCTTAATTAAATTTAAAACATTGAAGCCCCGTCCCCTACAGCCTTCATTTTTTTAATGAAAAAGAATTAAGAAGGAATGATGACTTCGGCTCAAACAATACACATTAAACATGTATGTGAGTAACAATTCAATTTTTTTTTACAATTAGAAGTCATGGCATGGTGGTGCAACTTTAACTAACCATACATTAACATTCATCAAATTATAAGCATGGTTAAATAATGGGCAATGATGGTATCGAGGGACTACTTGTGTTTACATATCTTAATAGATTTGTCATATGGTTTAACAAATAATTCAATTGTAATATTTTTGCTTTAAAATCATGCACACCATAAAAAACTTATAATTAAAAAAATAAAATCTTGAAACCTCGTGTATTGATGACTTTTTGACTCAATCAAAACATTTATGAGTTGATATTTTTTTGCTATATCTATTTATTACAAAAAAAATGAATAGACCTATATTTCGACTATAATAGTTAAAATTTATATAATTTGATAAACAAAGAAAATTTAATATCTAAACTATTTAAACATTAAAAGTCTTTAATAAAATAAAATGATAAACCAAAGTAGTAAATAATTATATTAATAAACTTACAACAAATGGTAAAAGAAACTAATATAATTGTTCTCAATGTCGATTTTCAATTTGATTCAAATAAGTTTAGTTCCAAAGTGGAATAAAAATTATAAAAGTAATTTCTTTTATCTAACTTTGAATATTGTGTATAGGTAATTTAGATATCGTAATCTTACTTTAATTTGAGTAATTGGTTAAGGTTATTTTTGAATTTTTAACTATGATTTTATTAATGAATAAAATCAAGATAAAAATTAAATATATAATTATGTATAAAAGTTGAATATATAATAATTACATTAAAATTTGGATTTATATTATATGTGACGAATATTACGTTGACATCATCTAGAATGAGTAGATTGATGTGAACAATCTTATACATAGGTGCAGCATGATACAGTTATCATTTGAGACATTAGAATCAGATTAAGGCATGATTACACACTTGCACGAGTGGCAAGACATAGACTAAAAATTGATGAATTGAAATATGTTTGAAAAGAAAAATGTTTGCAGCATCATTATGAATCTTAATATTAAAAATAAAAAATAAAAATAAAGAAACTCAATGATTATATAAAAATATTAGATTGAATAAGAATGTAGGTGTGACGTGGAGGAATCGAGGGTGTCGTAGCCACGCGAGAAGACAAATTAATAATAGGATAGAGTTGGAGTCGAACAGAAAACAAGGAATGAAATGCGGTGACAAAGGCCCACCCAAAACGCATAAATTAGGTCTCAACCTTTTTTCTAATTCCCTATATTTCATCATTCGCACCAATCCAAACCCAAGAAAGAGAAAAACAGAAAAGCTTCGTTTAGGAAGAACAACAAGAAGCTCTGGATTCCGCCTCTTCCCGTCCTTCGAGACGGTTGTTATGCTGCGTGCTTTTCAGGTCTCATCCTCTTTCCTTCTCCCCCTCTTCTTTCAGATCCGATCCGATCCGATCCCTTTCGGATCCTTCCGATTGCCTTTTCGCTTTAGTTCGCCGTCGTTTTTGTGCTTTCCTTTCTTGTTTTGTTTAGGCTTTTGACTGTTTGACCGTCGAACCAATTGAATTTGTTTGTTCAACTTTGGTTCCTGTTGTTAGAGGATTACGCGTTCGTCGAATTTGACTTTCTTGATGGATTTTCCGCTTTTTTTTTCTAGGTTTTGTTTTCTTTTTGTGCTTTGGTGTTAGTTAGGGCTTCGAGATAGGATTCTGGTTCTCGAGATTCGTATGGACTGTTGTTTATGCTTTATTCCGTCTTAGGTTATAGTTTTTGGTGTTATTAGATTATTTATGCTTCTGCTTTCTGGAATTTGATGTTTAATCTTGATGGCACATGGATAATCAATCATAGAGATCTTGTAGGCATTTTACGCCTTGTAATTTTCGATTCGAATTTATTCCTTGACTGATGATAATTTTATATTTACCTTTTTTTCCTGGAAAACTGGCAATTTTTGAAGCAGGATTTTTCGAATTTAATTGTTTGAGGTAAGTGTAAATGCAATTAATTTTACTTGGTCAGAGAATCCGAGTCTTCATCGCTGTTTTGTTGTAGCATCTGAAACTAATAGTTGCCCGATTTCATATGTCATTCATGTTTTTTGCTGTTAATTTTAATTTTATTGGTCATGTAATGGTAAAGAAAATTGAGTATGGGTTTTTTATGAATCTAACCTCAAGCCTTCTCCATGTTTCTTTAATCATAGGTTGGTCCTGGGTTGAATCTAAGGATCGTGATTTATATTTGAGACATGGAGGGAGTTTGTTTCTGGACAAATTGCTACCAGTATCGGTTTTTTGCATTCCAAGAAGTGCTTGATTGGCGATTTTTCATCTTGAGATTTCTTCGGGTTTTCCTTTGTTAATTGCACTTAGTGTTCGCTCCCGTTTGATGATCAGCACAGGGTACGTGATGCTACTTTCTTCTGATACAGGTGCTGCATCTTTAGTGCACTTGTGCAAGTAAGCGCTTATTCTTTTCTTCTTTGCAAACACCAATCCAAAAAGAAGTTTCTTGAAAGTGTCTTTGGCAGTGCATTGCTGACGCCATCCCCTTCTGTTAAAACTCCGGTAAATCCTCTTGGGTAGGTTTTACCGTGAAGAACCTCCAGAACGGTCTCTTTTCTACTATAAACCCATTACTAGCCTATTTTTGCCTTTGCAGGGCTGAAACATATAGATCGGTGACTGAATATTGGATTCTGCCTGCATATTTTGAGTGAAGCATTTGCATTGAATCAGTTCGAACTGTAGTTATTGAAATAGCCTCCTTGTTGCTCTTGATGGGTATTGTTGCTGAATAACACACATCAGTTACCCGAAGTTTCTGAAGCAAATCCTACTTTGATTAGATGAAGTAGAGTATATTGTAGTTCTGAAGTCTTGGGGTCAACGGTGATTTTAGCTAGAGGGAGAGTAATGGTACTGCTTTGATCAGTCATTATAGTGGGACCTGAGAGTGTCAGTATGATCTCTGTTCTTGTTCATTTCCACCACCTTTACTATGCAACCATTTCGAAGCCGTGGGTCTATAATGAATAAAGCTGTGCAGCCCGTCCATCTGAAAGTTTCTGCTTCTATGCCCTCTTTTGCTACGACAGAAAATTGATGGTGGATTTTGCTGGACCAGCAGGAACCTGTTAATATTTTATACACTCTGAGCATCATCTACACGAGGATAAATGCCATTTATTTCCTTTGCGTTTTGGTTTACATTTGTTGAATCAAGAAAGTGCTGCTTCGTGTTTCACGCGAGATTTACTTTCCGCCAGGCTGTATGCCTGCCCCCCACCCCTTCGTGGGAACAATGGAGAGGGTGATTACTTTTTCCCCTTTTATCAGAATTTCCTATTTCCTCTTTTGTTTTCTGTTAAATTTCTTAATACGTTTCCCTGGCAATACAGGTACAACTTAATTAAGGAAGTTGGTGATGGGACTTTTGGGAGTGTGTGGAGAGCTATAAACAAACAGACCGGGGAAGTTGTAAGTATGCTTAACTGACATGATGGAGTTGCTCTATTTGAAGTCGGATGTCATAATACGGTAGTACTGCAGTTGCTATCAAGAAGATGAAGAAGAAGTATTAACTCTTGGGAGGAAGTGTGTAAACCTAAGAGAAGTCAAGGTTTACATCTTGCTTATCTTTCTTAAAGCCTTTTTTTGTAATGATTAGTTGAAAATTTATAATTACTCTCTAATTTCCCCTATGGCAGTCGCTGCGAAAAATGAACCACCCAAATATTGTCAAGCTGAAGGAAGTTATTCGAGAAAGTGACATTTTGTACTTTGTTTTTGAATACATGGTGGGTGATTAAAGTTCTTGGTAGACAAGTACTTGGTTGGATAATGCAATATCATATCGACTACTTTTAGTTCCAATTTGGGGGGGGGGGGTGATGTAGAATGCAACCTATACCAGCTTATGAACGATAGGGGAAAAACTGTTTCTGACGGTGAAGTTAGAATTGGTGTTTTCCAATCAAGTTTTCCAAGTCCTTGCTTACATGCACCAGCGTTGTCCTTCCATCGTGACCTGAAGCCCGTACTTATGCACCATTTTTCTCTAAAATCTGTTAGTTTTTTGCTTTTTGATTGAATGGGAGAGTTAATGTATACTTTTATAATTTTTTTGCAGTGTTTTATTTTTCTCAATATATCCTTTAATCATGTCAACACTATTCTTTATTTTATTGTTCCGTTATCGTTTTTAAAATAACCATCCCGACTTATTCTCTCAATTTCTGACTCATTTTGTTTTTTTTATGTTCCAAATTTTCTACTCTCTCCCGTTCCAACCGATGACTTCTATTTTTTTTATCTCAAGTTTAAATCTCTTAAATAATATTTGAAATTTAAACTAACAACATAAAATAAATGTATAAAAATATATTAATTTTTGAAAATTATATACACATTAATATGTAGAATAATAAAAGTTATTACAACAATTAAATTTTGACTCAGTAAAATAAGAACAGACTCATTAGAATGCAGACACCGTAGGGGTGCTAATACGCAAGTGGTGCTTTTCGTTAGGTTATAAACTATATATGAAGACTTTTTTGTTCACAAAATATACTCTTTAATCTGGGTAAAACCACTTTATTTCTTTCTTCTGCCTTATGCCCTTCATACTACCTGTAAAATTTATTCTTTCATACTCAGGTTCAATCTGTTTTTTGTAGTTTCCCCTTCACAATAATATAAAAAATTTTTTTTTCAATATCAGTTCATGTTCTTATAATTTCCATGTTCTTTAACACTCTCCCAATTTTTTCTTTCTCTAATTGATGACTTTAAATTCCTTTCATATTAGTTCTAATTTTCTTAAGTACTATCTCAAATCTAAACAAAACAGTATAAAAGTAAATTAGTTAAAATAAATATGTATTAAAAGATATATTAAACTTTTACTCCGTAAAATAAAGTAGTGTGTGTTTTCACTAGTTTTTATTACGTGTATTATGTAATGTATATTTTGCTAGAAGTTTCTTATACTCTGGTTTTCTCTTGTTAACGTGGTTATATACATTTTCTATTTTGACTTGTTAAATACCTCATTAGATGAACAAAACTCTATTGTGAGACATAATTGAAATAAATAAACTGAGAGCACGGTCTGCTGTTTACATCTTTATTCTGTCGCAATATATTTCTGCTTTGACCCAAGGAATGCCGATATGGTGCAGAAAACTTGCTGGTTACCAAGGATATCATCAAAATTGCTGATTTTGGCCTAGCTCGAGAGATCACTTCACAACCACCCTACACTGAATATGTCTCCACACGATGGTATGTGTCATCTACTTCAGAAAAAAAAAAAAAAAAAAAAAAAAAAAAAAAAAAAAAAAAAAAAAAAAAAAAAAAAAAAAAAAAAAAAAAAAAAAAAAAAAAAAAAAAAAAACAAAAAAAAAAAAAAAAAAAAAAAAAAAAAAAAAAAAAAAAAAAAAAAAAAAAAAAAAAAAAAAAAAAAAAAAAAAAAAAAATAGATGTTTCACATTCTGTGTTTTAGGTATGCAATAACATGCGTGATCACCTTCTGTTTAGGTACCGTGCTCCTGAAGTGTTGCTTCAGTCTTATATGTATACATCTAAAGTTGGTGAGTGGTTGATTGGGTAACAATTGCCATTTATTTTTATCACTGATATGTTTTTTCAAGTGAAACTGTAGTAACTTTTTTTTATTACCTTTTTCCCTAATAGACATGTGGGCAATGGGTGCTATAATGGCTGATCTTTTCTCGCTTCGTCCCCTGTTCCCGGTGTCATGGTATAGCTCTCACTTGCTGATCCCTCCCACCCCACTAAACACCTAATGATGATTTTTTAACTGCAACTAGCAAATAGATCTTCACCGTGGAAAACAAATTTTACACCTGAACTTTATAAAATCTAACGATGTTTATTTGCTTAAAAGTGTATCATGTTCTAAGCATCCCTGATCATCAACTGGATTTATCATACATAATCTGTTTCTCTGTGACATGCAGTGAGGCAGATGAGATATACAAAATATGTGGTGTGATAGGCAATCCAACCCATGAATCTTGGAATGATGGACTCAAGCTTGCAAGGGATATCAACTACCAATTTCCACAGGTTAGCATCTAGGATGCTAGTTGCTTAATTAATTTACTACGTATGATGGCATTCTTCTATTCACTTTATATGCCTTTTGTACTTTCTATAGCTTGCTGGTGTGCATCTTTCTGCACTGATCCCGTCTGCGAGCGATGATGCAATCAGCCTTATCAAAGTAAGTAGTTTTGGTATATTGGTCAGTTGCTTAGGCCTGTGAGCCATTTGATCAACAAATAGTGTGTAATTCATTTTCTTTTCTGTTAATGCAGTCACTTTGCTCCTGGGATCCCTGCAGAGGCAACAGCTTCTGAGGCCCTTCAGATCCTTTATTTCAGGTGGTCTTTTAACGAGCTATGTTTTGTTGTTTTCTGTCAAGAATTTAGCTTCTGTTACTTACAACGCTGTCTTATTGGGACTTCTTATTTGTGGTATAGTTGCTTCATATTCTCCATCCCTTCGCAGCAGAGCAGTAGCGAGAACTCCACCATCTGGTTTGTATTATTTATTTGTTATCTAGGGATGTGTTTATTGTGCAATTGAGTGGGGATCATTATTGTCCTTTCTTTTCAGCTGGAACCAGAGGAGCCCTGGATCACCAAGGGGTCAAGAGATATTCTGTGTTTAAAATCCAATTCACAAGGCCACCAATAATTTTTCTTCCCAGAAATTACATCCTCCTTTAGCTTCAGGTGACATATTACATATTTATTGAATAGAACATTGCATGTGTTGTATGTGGAGCAAAAGGAAGCCTTATCATTAGGGAAACGACAAGTAAAATATTTTACTGTTCTACGTCGATTTGCATGTGAATTAACTACCCATGCTTATAATTCATAGTAAATAAGTTGCTCAACACTGAAATATTTTGAACCTTTTGACTATTTTTCCTCACGGTTAGCACTTAATGGTGTATTCTTACTAAAGATTTAGTTTTACTTAATAATTCTAGAAGAATAGAAGCCTTGCCTCCCTCAGAACCAAAAGATTCCTTGGCTCGTTATTGCACCTTGA